GTAGGTTCGACGTCGCCTGGGTCTCATCATCACCTTTTGAAAGCAAGACTGTATGGTACAGAATGGGAACATGAAGCCTAGTTACATAATTGTCAATGCTTTTGTGTATCAGTGCTTTTCGATATAATATGATGCTAGTGTTTATTAGATGCTGACGTAGCTTACATTTCGTCTGCAAAGCGGGTGGAAGTGATTAGCAAATTGGCCTCATCACACCCCAAAGGAGGATTTAGCTGGACTTTTGACAGCCGGAATGGGTTCACAGTCGTGTCAACCAAATGAATCCCTGCGGAACTTACGTCCGTCATCTGCCTAAAATGGTCAGAGCCAGATAACCTCATTTATGAATATTCACATAAAAGACCTAGAGTGGTTGTTGAATTCTCTTAGATGATGGTCTCTGGCTTTGAAGATGTTCGTCACATGGTAAACGAAGGTTCAGCACTGACTTATCAGGTTTTTAGGACGCAGAATGCACAAGTCACAGGTCCCAGGTTATCCTCCATTGGGGTCCGGCAAAGCCGATTCCCGAAGCCATTTGGGACGAATTTCGAATGAAATGACAAGTAAGCCATTATAGTCACTAAAAGTAACCTAATGTGGATAACAAGAGATTTCATTGAAATAATATGACTTAATCTCTCAATGCCATGGAATTTCATGCAGTCCTATCTTGCACAATATATATTTTCATTTATAATGGATGGCGGTTTCGTCCCTCACGGGACTCGAACCCGAGTAAGTACTGCTACCCAACATTTCGGGAAGACTCACCACTCATACCTAAATCACCTTATGCGATCTAGGCTGCATATAATTCATATTCAGGATATGCTTATATGAAAGCCGACTTTAAACAAATAAAAATTGCTCAAGGCCTACTCACCAACTACCAAACGAACCTGGGTTCCTAATCAGGTCAAGTAAGTTGATGAACAAAAAAATAATTTCACAAATTTGCTTGATTTTCCACTGCTCCGAATGAGTGGCAGAGTCGTAATGAGTTGGGCTCCAGACTGATTGACATTCTCGTCAATGAATCTCATTTCGGCATGTCTTTCGTTTTGTTTGAAAGGACGAATCATAAGTTGTCCTCACGAAAAGTAAAAGCGGGATTGTCTTGCAGGTTTGACGAAATGTATATGATTAATCCCATTTCGAAATGCCCAGTGATTTTTCACCCGCCACGTAACCCTACTTTGTCAACATACGTCGAAAAAATGGGATTTCGGACTAGTGCATTTTTCTTCCCAATGCTTTGTCCTGTATCCTTAGGCATAGTTTCCTGATCTGACGAATTCTCTCATTATGGGGACGGATGAGAGCTGAGCATGGATTCGCACAAATCTACAGTCACAACTCAAAGGGATACCTCTTTTGACCTCCGCTAAGGCCAATTAACGCATCTCTTCCAGGCAGCTCTTTGAACCAAATGGAAGGTCACCAGCAGAAACCTTTTAACGGCTTCTCTGAGATCCACCTTTTCTTTACGTCCATCCATGTACTTCGCCAGGCCTCGATGCTACAGCAAAGATTTAGATCTATTTGCCAGACTGGCTGGCCGATTCTGCGCCCACGCCTTAACTGTTGCAAAGTTGCAATCCCTTTTCAATGGGGAATGAGGCAAAAAAACAAATTCTCACAAAAGCTCTTGAAATCGGGATCGGAGTCAACCGAACCAACGGCCTTTCCTACCAATTCGGACTAGATAGTCTCATCAACTCGGTCGTCAATCAGCCAAACTTGCATTTTGCTCCCAAACTCATTCTGCCACAGAATATGCAGGCAACTCAGATCCACGGATCACATAACTACCGAATGAAGTACCTACAGTTGGAATGGCTCTTCATGATTGCCCCGTTGTGATGATAACCGTATGGAGGTTCCGGTATGCTGGCTCGACTTGGACGTTCTGCAAGCCTCAATCGGGATTCATTGGACCGTGGTGAAACAGCTAAAGAGTGGGAAGCTTTAGGACCAGTGAACTGCGAAACAGATCCGATCTGCATTGCTTGGGAATCGCTAAAGCCGGCCTGTACAATAGGTTTATTTATGTATTTTCTAAAAGTTTGTCAACTGCTGTCAATCATGCTTATACATTATTGGACACTTACTGCAACCGGCCTACAAACGGACAATGAAACGCGGCGACAGTTGTCAACATTGCAACAGCAGACATTTTCTTCGGTAGCAGCAGTAACCAAATCCTTGAAAAGATCGACTTCACACAGCCTCTGAGAGTGCCTGTATAGGAAATCTGTCTCTTCTGATCCGATCGCGACTTGAAAATGTAAGCTAAATTCCAGTCATGTAACCCTGGCTGGCCTCATGTACCACTGTACCATATCACTACACGCCCTTTATCTTTTCTCCACCCCCAACTAGCATTTTCCTTTCTGCCACACCCTCCCTCACAGGTTAAAAAGGGGCTATCAATTGTCGGTCTTGGATGCCTATGTGTAGGTCAGTTTATAAAAAGCATTGACTAGATAAATTCACTCTCAGACGTACATTTTGTTGATATTTCCAACCCACCCACCCCCCTCTATTTAATTGTCATACATACATCTAGCTCGTGGCATAAACACCCACTTTGGTTGAAGGCACATTCTGCGACTTTGCTTTTGTTATTTATCCCATTTGGACAGACTTGGTGGTTACAGTTCAACAGCCTATAAAAGTGCTGGCAGACAAATTGCTCGTTCAGGGCGATCTTTTGCGGCCCGAAGTCGTCTCAGTTAGAAGCCATCAATTGAGGAAATTTCATCAAAACGCCCTTTTTGCTTTTGAGTTTTCGTGATATTTTTCGTAGATGCTGCTTTTCGACTCTGGAATGTCTGCTACGCCGGTACAGAAAACACATTAGCGCGCAGTCTTCGGATACTAAACGTTCCGTTTGTAAGACAGCCATCGCGGCAAGCCTCACTCGGCTACTGGTGAGGCTAACTTAAGACTCATTTCATCCCCGTTTTCAAAAGAAATGGAAAATACGAGATTCTGCAAAGCCCAATCTTTCTTCGCATCCTCTACTGCAGATGAGATAATTTGAAGATCTACAGGTTCCTGGTCCGAATCCCGGACAGGACCCAAAAATCGTGTGAACAAGACGACCGGAATAAGCGAAAGAAATTTGCATTCTTCTCTTCTCTCACCCAACTCATTATTTTCTTATGTACCGAATAGCTGGGACGATGTCTTCTTCCACGTGGGCATCTTCTAGGCGCATGGACCGATGGTCGTTTCACACGAAACAGACAACTTTTGCGTTCAGGCGACAACAGTTTATCAGAGCCTCTGAGTTTAGACGGAGAAGGGAAGTAAACGGGGCACACACAATGTCTGGCTGCCTTTCGCCTCCTGCACACGACACTATTCACACGAAAAGTAAATGATATGGTAGATTGCAAATGGCCAACCGAAAATCCCACCATAAATGTGATTTGGGATAGATTCGGCTTGTCATCTTTTCTGACACCCACTTGCATGCATGGTGGGGCAACGAAGTGCTAATATCGCCATGACGCATACGATCCGGTTCTAAATACCGTTGGGGAGGTGACGAGACCAGTTCAGTTGTGCCGGAAAGCAAACATACGTTTGCCTCGTCGACAATCCCACCAAAGAATGGGATAAGGCAAAAGGCCTGGCCTTCGTTGAAATGCACATCTGCCCTGTGACCCAAGGGAACTCGTGGTGATGTGGCCGAGTGGTTGACGGGTCAAGCTCACATGCTGCACTGTCGCGGTTCGACTCCCGCTCGGGGTGTTGATAAGACCGATGCGAGGTCGAAATCGCAGTCCAATGGTGTCTGGATGAGAAAAACTTTTAGGAAAGCAAGGCAATGTGAAATTGAATGGAAACATCAGCTCTACTCATATCATTGTGGGAAGATTCTACTACCAGTCGTTCATCACTTAAAACGAAATTTAATGAATGCATCTTATATTTCTGATTTACTGGTAGATGAAAAATAAGTTCTTGATAAAGTTTGTAAGTTATGTAAAATCTCGAGGCTTTTAAGCAAGATATAAAAAGTCCTCTTTTGTTTGGACACCAAATTTTTACCCTTTTTTTATGGTCTGGATCCTCAATCTTAACAAACATTTCGCTTAACCTAGTTTCTGCAACTTTTCATTGCCTGAAAGTATCAGTCATAATATGCATAATCTCAGTGGCCAATTTGCTGGCATCCGTTCAATCGCATTATTTTGGTTTCACTTTGCGTGCATACTCTCCTCAGAATTGCTCAAAAGGACGAGTTTACACAAAGTTTTGTGGAGCATGAATAATATGCGGAATTGGTATAACTTTAATGTCAAAACTCGTTCATCATGTCAAGACGACCCCGACAAGTATAAGCAATAAAGCCGCATTTTTCTTAGTATCCTCGTACTGCATAAAACTTTAGTTTGGTGAATTTCTAGGTATTCTGGCGGCATCTTCAGTGCATTCTCGCATGCTGAACACTCGTAAGAGCATAAATGCCCATGACGTCTGTGAGATAGAAAATTTTGATATTCCTTTTCTGTAGGATTTGATGCATCCATTACCTTTTGAATTAGAACTTTTTCTTTCTAGTCCACATCAGATGATGAAGGAGAAATAGTTGAATTTTTCCACAATGTAATGAGCAACACACCTTGCTTCTAAAAGGTGTACGATTCATGTTATGGGAGCTGATCATGCCTAGATATGGTAGAAACTGCAGTTACCTCTGGAGACAAAGATCTTTCACGGTGCAATGTTATGCAAACTTCGATTGTATCATGTGACCTGCCCATATCATTGTGAGAAAATTGGCTTACAGCGAACTTGTTTGACTAAATGTTTTCTATTTAAGATCTAATAATTGCCTCGAAATTCTACTTTTTTTGAATTTGGCAAAATGACGAGAGCGACCACGCCTGGCCAGACATCTGCCAAACGCTCGTCACACTTGACTGCCTCAGTTTAGGACGCCACGAACAGACGCCCTGCCACCTGCCTTGGCATGGAGCAGATAAACCCTCAGCTAAGCATCGTTTAGAAAATGTTGCTACACAGACTCACTGACTGAGCAGACGAGCTGACAGTCCGAAAGCGGTTCGCGAATTGGCAACAACGCCGCAGTGAGCATGTCGGACTCAAGACGACAGCAGATGTCACCGCGACCCCAAGGCCCATTCGTCAGTTGAACCAGACATTTGCCATCGCTTGTATTTGTTTTGCCAGCCCTACACTGCCAAGTTGTATGAACAGAAGGTGTGGTTTGAGGAGTCACTTTATAATTTAATGTAGAGCGATTATTCTCTTGAAAAGAAACTTGTTCGGAACGGCTTTAGGGATCGGTCTTATCAGAGAAGGATTGTCACTCGGTTGTGCGGAGCAGAACTGCGAATCCAAGGAATTTGTTCAACCGTATGCCTTAAAAGGTGATTTAATCCCGCTTCCCAATCTTTATAGTGTTGTCAAGACTACAATAGTCATGACAAATGTCAGAATGGGGTCGTGAGCTTTCTCATTTCCCAGAAATTTTGCTGTATTCGCACTCTACATCGTCATTGGCCCTCTACCATCAAACAACATGTCTATGATGCCGACAAACAGTCTGAGATTATAGATATGAAGACCAAGATAGTGTGGCCTTTCGTTGTATACAAGTTGTTTGACT